GATTGTCACCTCTATATTTAAGTCTGGAAACAAACAAGACATGAATAATTATCGTCCAATAAGCATCCTTCCAGCTGCGTCAAAAGTGCTCGAAAAGACGGTGGCGGAGCAACTTACCACCCATTTTGACTCACAATCTCTTTTAAATCCAATGCAATTTGGTTTTAGACGGAAATATTCAACAGACTTTGCCTGTTGCTACTTCTTGGAAACTATCAGGGCATATGTGGATCGGGGAAGGGTGGTGGGAGCAGTCTTCCTTAATTTATCTGCGTAAAGCTTTTGATACTGTCAATCATCAGATACTCTACAGTAAACTAAATCAATATAGTCTCTCTGAGCACACTCAAAACTAGATAAGATCTTATTTGAGCGACCGACACCAGTGTGTACAAATTAATAACATCAAATCGGCGTTTAGAGCTACCTCGATGTGAGTGCCGCAAGGGTCTATTTTGGGACCCTTGCTTTTTAGCATCTATATAAATGACCTCCCTAGAGTGTGTTCGGACGTTGACGTAATCATGTACGCTGATGATACGGTGATCTTCTTCACTTTTGGGGAAAACGAGCTGGAGGTTACTGACAAATTATCAAAAGAGATGCAAAAAGTTGCAAAATGGTTGCAGACGTCTTGTTTGACCTTAAACGTTAATAAAACGGTCTCAATGCTTTTCTCAAATAAACGTAAACTACAACAAACTCAAGAAATTCAAGTAAATGGACAAAAAAAAATGTAAATGAAACAAAATATTTAGGTCTAGTAATTGATTCGAATATCGGTTTGAAATCTCTCGGTTTGACATCTCTTGCGAGTGTGTGTCTGTGCTGTATGTGTGTGCGTTTGAGTGGAAGAGAGAGAGGGAGATATGTTCTTTTCCATAATTACTAATAAATGCAAAATACATAATAAAATGTAATTTTGTGGAAATAATTTGTCGTTTTTATCCTATTGTTTACTAAATTTATTTGCTTTCAGTGTCGTTGTGGGTTTTGGTTTTGTAGACTCTTAAGACCTTTAAAATAACTGAAATCATTTGGCGAAGTGAAATGAAACTGAAATGTGGTCAAGACCTGCCTGGAACTACAAGCCGTGCGTTTCCCTGAAAATAATTGCACACCTTAACGTTCGTCAACCAATCAGAATCAAGCATTCAACAGCCCCGTAGTATAATATGAATCCAACAACAAAATAAAAACAGAAACCCCTCACTGCTCTTGATTGAATATAATAGCAAAAGCATATAGCTTTAAGTTTAACAAGATAACATTCCTTACTTGAATACTGCTGTTAAATGCTCTGGTGAGGAGATAAACATGGCAGACTGTGTACAGCTCATTCAGGGCGCAACAGGGTGAGGTCTATGCTAATTCAACAGAGTCCGTCAAGGGACTGCAATGTGACACATATGCTAGAATCTGCAAACGGCTTGTTTCGGAGACACTGCTTATGAATTATGGGGGTTAAAAATTGGATTGGGTGGATTTTTACCATTATGAGATTTTGTACACACTGCTGACACACATTTATGTTCAAACACTATGTAAGGGAATTTTGCATAATAGGTCCCCTTTAAATAGCAACCAAAGGCAACCTCAACACCACATGACCAGTTCTGTAAATGAAAACAAATATTCTGCGCATCAGAATAATACTGACAGCTAGGGCTGTACTCAACCAAAGAAAATCTTAGTCGACTGAAGTCCTAAAATTTTCAACAAAAAATCGACTAAAAATGACGTTAGAAAAAAAAAACGTTAAATTAATTAGCTGCGCACTGTGGTAGGCTACTTTGGTAGCCTTGTTGTCCGCCTAAGTGAATTATAAATAAACATTAAAAACTTGTAGACTATTTGCAGTATATTAAATCGTTTTTGACCCATTTATTTTGGACTGAAATGAGTCTGACACACGAGTCTGTCGGCTCTGACAGCGTTGCATCACGTGCACCTGCGCAATATCATTACACTGTCTGATGACATAGAGCACTGGGTGAGTGTTCAAGCCAACAAACGTTACCCTCAATGTGACATTAAAACCTGCTTACCGCAGCATGGAGAACAGGGACAATGTGGTCTGGAGGCAGGGTGTGGGCTCAAAGAGCAGAGTGGTCTTGACTTACGTCACAGAGACTATAATCATGCCTGAGCGGATACATGAGTCACTTCAGAATCAAGAAGGGAGGAGAGCTCTGACCAAACAACTAAATGTGGGTCAGACTTTGGCTGACCGATGTCTCATCGTCTGGGGCAAAAGAGCACAGTGGCACTACAATGAAAGTATTTGGGGGTTGAATTGACTGATGGGGAACTAAACAGATAGTTCAAGCACATTCTGTAAAAGGTACAATTCTGGACTATTTTAAATAATTTCTAGACTATTTTAAATCAGTAATGTTTTTTTTTTCTTGACCAAAATGTGACAACATTACAAAAGATATCTATTTCAAATAAACGCTGTTCTTCTGAACGTTCTATTCATCAAAGAATTCTGAAAAAAAACTGTATAATGGTTCCCACAAAAATTAAGCAGCACAACTGTTTTCAACATTGATAAGAAATGTTTCTTAAGCAGCAAATCAGCATATTAGAATAATTTCTGAAAGATCATGTGACACTGAAGACTGGAGTAATCAAATTCAGCTTTGCCAAAGATATTAATCTCATTTTAAAATATATTAAAACGGAAAAGTTATTTAAATAACAATAATATTTCTATTTTTACTGTATGTTTTGATCAAATAAAATACAGCATTGGTGAGTGTGAGACTTCTTTCAAAAACATATAAAAAATATTACTGATCCATACTTTTGAACGATAATGTCTATAAATATCCAAATGACTATTGCTGCAATAAATCTAAACATGAGTACAGGATAACTTCCATTATTGATCCTTAAATTAACCAATTAAGCCTAACAAATGCATTGATGATAACTGATGTTGCCCTGTTGAAAATGATAGATGTTTTCATTTTTCCAAGAGTGAAAATCCATCAATTTTTCCATGAATTTGTTCAAATTCAAAATATATGTAGTTTATTTTATGTTGTATCCTGTGAGTAAGACGTCTCATCCCAGTGTAACCAGTCAACACACAGAAAAGAAAGACTACTCACACAACTACAAAGACTATATATAATACAGAGAGAGGAAAAGATGTCTAATTTCATCTTAGTCCTGAACTCCCTCACGAATAGCCCCAAGTCCTGCATGTATATAATATACATTGATAAATTCAGTCCCTCTCCATCTAAGCCAGAAAAATCTTGCATGAACATTTTAAATTCAGATTCAATAATTGATACATTTGAAAGTTTTAATGGTCAATGATTATAATACTGTTGGTACATCATTCTGAATATGAGTGAATTTGAAGGGTATAGATATTAGGGAGCTGACGACTGTGCCCTTTTTTATAAAAGAGTATAATGACTGGAAATACATACTGAAGGATATGCAAGTAGAGAGGTTTTGTTATAGCAAAGGAATTCTCAGCAGATGTTAATGTTTGCTTATCAAAAATGGCCTGTTTTTAGATATCTTACAATGAAGTTTAATGCTGGAGAATGAAAGTTTACATTGATCATACCATATATTGAAACTTAAACATTACGAACAGCTACTTTGAATCTTCCCCTCCATTTGGTTAAAAATGTTGCTGTCTCTCAATTTGTATTACAATATTACATATAAAGTCTTGCAGACCAGCCCAAAATACTGGTTTAATACTACCAAAACAAAAACAAAAATCAGAATGTTTACATAATTTCAAACATTCGGTTCTGCATATTTACTAAGCATGAGGCCATTGAGTGTTTTTACACTGACAATTTTTTGGGATGTTAACTGCAATCATGTTTGTTGAACTTGTTGAACCAACTACAGATGGACCACAATCTTCAAGCATCTGCAACAACAGCTCTAAATTCAACCTCACATGTGGGCAGGAACAAATGCAATATTATAACAAAGTGAAAAGTTTAAATAGTCCAAAGTTATTAAAACACTTGTCATGGATCTTTTAAAGCTCCAGTTTCTGGCATGAAATTTTAAAGACTAAACCTATTTCAGTTCTATGTACAGAATATACACGTTGAATGAACAAAAAGTATTCACAAAACCACACAGATTGATGCCATGGCCATGACATAAAACAGCGTCTCCATTTTTGGAGGAGAACCAACCAAAAAATCAGTTTGGCAGTAACAGTCTTTCCCTCTTACATTCATTAGAGGGCACCACTTTTAAAGTTTCCTTGATTTCTGTGTTAGCTGTGGATCTGCACAATACATTTTTACAGATGAGTCAGCTGAACTCAGGCAGTCACATTTCTGATTTTTTGGATCAGCACCATGTGATATACTCTTCACCCTGAACAGAACATCCTCCAAACTTGGCTCTTAAATCTACCAATAAACCAAACAAACTTCCAAGGTAAACTGAATGAATATTCTGCAGCCTGCAAAGACCCAACGATAAAAAGGAAAAAAAAGTTACCTTCATTTAAAACAATACTACAGCTTTTGATGCACATGTGAGCCTGTGCAATACAACCACAGTTAAGGCTTTAATGCGTTCATCTTAGAACACCTACGCAATAGCTCTTTCTCTGAAGAGGGCATTAAAATGATTATTACACCAATGACAACACCCATAATTGTGAGTAACAGATCATACAATACCCTGTTAGTCCCACGGGAGCATCAACAGCTCCAACACTAAAAGTACACATAGAAGGAAAAGCCTGCAAGACCTGCAGTGGTTTTGTCCTGGTCTATATGATGTGACATCATCGGATATAACATGTGAATATTTAGGAAAAGTCATCATGTTAGAGCTACATAACCAATAATGAGCTTGTTTTTATGTTGCCAATGACAGTGTTTTTTAATCCAGGACAAGAAGTAACCTCGATCGTAGAGTAGAGTTAACATCACACATTTTGGTCAAAAAAAAAGAAATTTTTTTTTAAGTCTGAGGTTAAATTCACTATAAGACCAAAATGTTCATTTTTTTGCTTATCTGTTTGCTTGACTACACACAGTCCACCACAGGCTCGCCTTCGTTTCCTTCTTCTTCCCCCCACATCCCGAATCTCATATCCTCATCATCCATGGATCCCCCGTCCCCCTCTCCCAAACCGGCCATGCCTATTGCTTCATCCGCTCCAGGCTCCCCCTGATGGGCACGGAGGTGTTTCCTCAGACTGGCCGGATCTTTAAAGCCTCGATGGCAGAGTGGGCAGCAACACGGCCGTTCTCCTGTGTGTATGCGCTGGTGGTGCTTCAGGTGCTGCAGGCGACTGAGGCGTTTCCCACAGACGCTGCACACGTACGGTTTTTCACCAGTGTGTGTGCGGCGGTGCTTCCGCAGGCCGTCGAGATGGCGAAACTGCGTTCCGCAATCGGAGCAGGAATACGGTTTCTCACCCGTGTGGATGCGGAGGTGAGTTTTAAGAGCCCCAGACTCACGGAAACGGCGGCCGCACACGGTGCACGGGTACGGTTTCTCTCCTGTATGGATCCTCAGGTGCTTTTTCAGGCTAGAGATCAGACGGAAGGTCTTGCCGCACTCCAAACACAAGTGAGGACGTTCTCCAGGTGCCTCCCCCATCAACTCCGAGATGGAGCGCCGCATAGGCTCTTCTGGCGATGAGCCGTCCACACCTGGGCTCCTCCTGGGAGTCATACCCAAACCAGAAGCATCTCTCTGGGCCGATCTAAGTCCGGAGGTCCCCTGCGTAGGCGAACTACTGGAGGAGGGTCCATTGTGAGGCCTGGAGGGGGGCGGTGGTGTAGTTTTGGAGGGGTGATGGTGTGAACGGGAGCCTCCTTCCTCCTCGACCACATGGACGTATGCCAGATCACACACGCTCTGAGCTGAATGCTCGGCTTCTGTGGGCGCCTCTCTTCCCCGCACACACACCTGTCCAGAGGCAGGAACCTGCTCCTCTTTAACAGAGAAGCTAGTGTGTGAGGGAGGGTTGGGGGGTCTGGTGTGCGAGAGTCTTCTGCTGTCATCCACCATCTCACCTGTAACACAGATCACAAATTTACACACTGGTAGGAAAGAGAAATGGCATATGAGAAATGGCAGTCAAAACTTTGACATGACAATTTCATAAATCTCATAACTGTTAAACTGAGTCAACTAAAAGCTGTTCTTTCTAAAATCTCAAATTTCCACACATATTTCTACTTAACTGGTAACAACTGCAAATGCATAAAGTACATGAATATCTTAAAACAACAATTTTAAAATATTCATGAATTTTATTTTTTGAGTCTAATAATTAGGCTATTTATTACGTGAAAAGCAAAAGAAAGTTGTATGGTTATGAGACAAAAAATAATCAGTATCAGTTGTAAACATTATCTGTTGATCTCTTTCTCTGAAATAGGCAATCAAGGATGCACAAATATTAAACTTTTCAGATTATGGTTGAAAACCAATAAATAGACGATATTAAAAGAATACTACTTACAATATTTTATTAAAAGAATCTAATAATTTTAAATACAACAATTTAGGTATGAAAAATACAGTATGACAACTATCATTTTGAGATTTGCTAAAGATTAGACTTAATGTTAGAAAGAAATATGATTAAATTATTACTGTTTGATCATTTAAATGTATATAAAAATAGAAAATATGGATGCACAATTAAATATCCAATATCGGCAGATAACAATATCTAATGTCGACAGATAACCGAATGGTACCAATATGTTGTGCATCCCTTAACCCTGTTGTTGCCACACTGAGCACGTTTACATGCACAGTCCAGTACGCCGATAACTGACAAAAAAAAATCAGCCTATTGAAATGTCTAATGCCTGTATGGCTCTGTGTTGACAGTTGGCACATCAACAATTCATAAGAGCAACAGTACCTACATGTGTAAAAATGATTGTTTTCTTACCAGGTCGGTTCATGTCTGAACAGATGTTAGACGAATGGACGGATATAGGGTCATAAAAACTGTTCGTCACCGTCCCATCCGCCTGAATGGAGAGGTGGCAGCTCTTGAACTCTTCTCTGGAGTCAAAGCCGTGTATGGCATCACCCAGAGCGCCACTCAATTCGGGTTCAGCTCCAGTAAAGCAGCGCGGATCCGGATCGGGCGCACTCCGATGGGTTAAGCGGTTCGAGTTTAAGGGTCCAGAGGTGGCGTAGACGTGATGTCCCGGCATGGATGGGTTTCCAAAGGGGCCCTGAAGCTGGTCGATTAATTTCTGAGCGCTACACAGACACTCCTGTAACGTCTTGAGCTCTCTCTCCGAGACTTCGAGCCGAACCTTCAGCTTCTCGTTCTCTTGCTCTTTGGTCAGCAGCTCCCGCTGGGTCTCGGACAGCACCGCCACGATCTCGCCCAGAAGGGTGTCCACTGCGGCGGACAGAGTGGACCGGATGGTCGGTCCGAGGCGAGTTCTGAGTGTGGAGATGGAGAAGTTTTTGTCCCGGACCGTGTTTTGCATGCACTCATCCTTCTCCCCCTTATGGGATGAGTTGATTATAGTTTGTTTACGGTGAGAAGCGCTGGCTGATGAACTGTTTGTTGCTGTTGGTACCGACACTGGGTTGATTCTGCCCGCCCCGTTTTCACCGTTGTTGCGCTTTGAGTTCATTGCGAATTCTTCTGCTGTAGCCTACAACCAAACGAAAAAGAAACCTATTTTATCAGTTATTGTTGTAATCTTTTAATGCTTTATAAAATGAAACGCTCATCCTTTGGAGTCTCACTGCGACAATATTTCTAATCACTCAGAAATGAGAAACTAAAGACGACGAGCCTGACGAGCTACTATAGCATTGCCATTAGCAAACTAGCCCACACATTCCTCTCGCAAATAGAGCCTTTCACTGCCTGAGTTTTGTTGAAAGCTCGATAAATAACCACACTGAAAGCTCACGACAATACTACTTTTAATCTGCATTAATGTTGTAATCGTTTTGTAGCTACGAGCCAGAGCCTTCATTCCACTGTACAAACGCGGAGGTCAATCCTGACTTTTGATTGGTCAAAGATGTGGTCGCGGCTTAATGACATACTCTCGCGTAAACAAAGCGCATGAAAATGACGAGTTTTCCGGAGCGAAAGATTGATTAGTGTTTGTTAATGTTTGCGAACCATGCTGTACACAAAACTCTAGTTTACACAAGAAACGTTTGCTGATGCAAAATAATGTTTTTTAACAGTTCAACATACGATGACGTATGAAAGGCAAGTTCGTCAAGATAAACTTTGACGTTGTCAAAAAAAAAAAAAAAAAAAAACTTAGACGTTGTCTTGACGTAAAATGTAAGTTTGAAGTCTTTACATGTCCTATTGACAGAAATAGGCTAGTCAGACAGACTGAAAGACTTACTCAAGTGGTTCTCAATCAGGGGGGCCTTTTTGGGGGCCTCAGTAAACTTCCAGGGGCCACTTATAAATCTCACAATTATTTAAATATAGTTATAATACATAATCTTAATTAAAATACTAAAATGTAAATTTATACTACACTGACATCATATTTTTTCAGAAGTCTTTTAAATAGAATGTCTGGTCTCTAGTGAATGGCAACTAAAGTTGACAACTTCCATTTCATGCAGCAATGTCTGGTTCATATGAAAGATTCTGCAAATAATCATAATTAAGCTGTCTGTGGGAGTGTAACCCATACTTAACTTAGTTATTTCTCTTTGTTTGCCGGCTTTATGGAACACCCTTGAGGTGAGAATGGGGTTGACTAACAAAAGAGGGAACAAGAATAAAGCTCTTTTGATTCAGCTTTTGGATATTGCAGTTTCTGCGTAAAATACAATCTTTCTTGTAATGTAGGCCTATACAATCATGACTGTGGAAGGAAAAAATATGACTGTGTGTGTTACATTAACCCTTCAGTTTATTACTTGTTTGAAACGGTTACCCGATATATTCCACAATACTGCATATTACTTACACAGAGATCAAAAATCTAATTTCTCCATAATTTTGATGTAACATTTACACTTCCTACGATGAAACAGTGCTGGTATTACAGTGGGTTTCAACATTTTTGACTTCAATGTCCCCGATTGTCCACAACAATATTCAAAGGTGACATGTTCTACCTTTTCTATTTGAATGCTTATTTTGTCTTATTTTATATAATAAGTCATCTTGAGGACCCCCAGTGGGCCCTGCCCCTCTGGTTGAGATTCACTGTGCTATAGACCTTATTCAGAGCAGCGCCCTGAAGAGATGCATGTCTATCCCTCACAGCCTCACTTTCATTCTAAAGATGGCGCTGATGTGAATAAGGTCTATTGTGATCTGTTGTGTTCTTGGGCAGGTTGTGCTGCAGCGCCATCTGCTGGCAGATATCAGTATATAGACAATGACTATTACGTCCCGAGCAGACCCGGCGCCAGACACAAATTCACGGACGGGCATTCATTTTTTTCAGGGGGGCACAAATGAAAACTCATTGCATCATAACAGAATCGATTATGATACTATGCAATGATCGATAGAGCATAATAATTATATAATAGGCTACTGACGCTAAAGGTAGCCTACGTTTACACACTGCCTCCGCAAATTTCGATTTAATTTTTTAAGTAGGTTTGAGAGGTGTTTTCAGGTAATCAGTTGGGTGCTGTGAATTATTATTGAAAAAAAATTGGGCATGTTGTGTGGACCTCTGTCCCTAGGGGGGTTCGGGGGCATTCTCCCCCGCAAGAAAATTTTGTACATTTTAAGTTTAAATGCATCAATCTGGTGCACATTGAGAGCTCAAAATTAAGAGCTTCAACCGGCTTCGACCCATGAACTGTGCACATTGAACAAAGAAAAAGCATTGACTTGTACCTAAAGAGGGCTCAAACATCTTGTTAATTATAGTCTCAGTCTACATTACATCGTATTTTATATTAAGCTATAGAATAGGAAAATTACACTACTTTTGTCCTAATTTCTTCACTTGTAAGAAATAAACCTTTGAGCTTTTATTTAGGAGAAAACACAAGATCACCATGCTGATCGTGTGAGCAAGAGCGCACTTTTCTTTAAATCACGCAGCACAAACAGAATGGCTAACGTTAGCCTACTTAATTAAAGTCTTGTGCTGTTTAGCCAAAAAAACGAAATATAATACCGAAAAAACTCGACATGTCAACAAAACATAAACATCTTCCCAAACACATATCAAGCTTATTTAAAAACCTCGAAAGCATAAACACTCATTCAAAGTAATACAACGTATTACGTATTCAGAATACAAATTATGAGGAGGCTAATAGTAGTCTCCACAGAGCATAAAATATTCATTTCATTTTATTTTTCGTGTTCGCATTTATGAGGAAAAAACAATGTTACGGACGTGAGCGCTCGCACTAAAAGATGCTTTAAAACTTTCACAGAGACATCAAACAGAAAGCAAAACCTTTCTTTAAAGTGAATTTCGTTTTGTATTAATTGTATCTTAATTTTAATCAATATTTCATCAACCAATTGCCTGGATGGATTTAATAAATAAGAAGTAAATATAGCAGACGATAAACCGGAGGCGCCAGCGCGTGAAGTGAACTGGAGCTCGTCGCAATTGAACCGAAACTCGTGTAGGCGTATAAGGTAGCCCGCCTCACAGACATGTCTACTTTTAAACAGAACAGTTCAAAACGAAAGAAAACAGACTACAGACTGCTCCCTGCTCATGTAATCCGTATGAAATGTGCATTTCTCTATGGCGTTTGAACGAAACGTTTGAATAAATGACTCGCTTAATAAGACCGCTATCACATGCATTTCCGCGCTCTCTATCGACAAACCAATCAATCCGTTTACAATTAGAAAAAAATCAGACCAAACACATTTTTTTTTTATTCAGGAGTTATGTATATTCAAAAGGATAACTTTTGATAACAGTAGCCTATTGATAAAAAAGATATTGTGCAAACAAGCAAGGACTGGTGGGACTTGAAGTGGAGTTGTTGAAGGGAGAGACTCGCTCAGGGCGGGCACTAGTGACTCACAGGGCGGGCCAGGCCCCCCAATGCCCGCCCATGGCGCCGGGACTGGTCCCGAGGACGTATTATGTGTATAAAGGTTTTTGGATATGTATTTTACTCTGTGTTGAGTATTATTTGTTGTTATGTGCTCTGTCTCTCTCCCTCACTGTGCTTGTATTGCAGTTAATTAGCCACACCTGATGCTCGTGTGCTGAGAGCAAACACTGCTTGAGAGAGGTTCACTTCTCCCCTGCACTATAGACTTGTGTTCCTGCGATTGAGTGTAAAACTGATGTGTTGGTTTTTTTTGTATTGCAGTTAATCTGCACACCTTGTGGTTTGTGTGTCCTCTGGTTTTAAAACAGCGTTGTAGTCCTTTTGTTATCAGGTAGTGTTTTTTTCTTTCTTCATAATATTGTTTCGGTAGCCTATTAAAAGGTAGGCTAGGCCTATCTATCGTATATTAACTCTTTTTATGTTATAGGAAGCTGTGTCAATTTTTCTTTTGTAATACATTTATCCCTGTTTTTGGTTAGTCAGGGAGTGGAAGGAAGCGTTTTGTTTATTTTATTTTTTTCTTGTACAGGTCGTTTAGTTATCCTTCCAATAGTTAACCCTTTTGTTTGTTGTTTTGGCTAGACCCTCTCCTTAAGATTGATTGCTTCTATTTTCTTTGTTTAAATAAAAAAACCTTTATTTTGCACCATGAAGTGGTTGACTCTCATTTCTGGGGCAGAGAACTGAAGGGAGTCCTCCACGTTTATGTTTCTCCTTTTTGATTTAATTTAATCCTGTTACCCTCTCCCAACCTTAGACCGGGAGAGCTTGTAACATGACCAAGAATCAGACAGAAATAATAACGATCACATTTGGATTGTACAAAGCATATACCACAGTGTCGTGTGTATGTGCCAATTTAAGCACATGCATAAACAGCCAAATACATGACAAAATGTCTAAGTTTCATTTTATACTTCCCACTGGACACCATCCAATAATTAACTACAAATAAACTGCTGCTGCAGTCTGCTTTTAGTAGCTCTGATCCAGAGCAATATGGTTTGGTGAATTGCAATATGATACAATGCAACACATAATAATAATTTAATTAATATAATATAACAAATGAATTGTTTTACAAAAATGAGAAATATGTCCAAAGTGCATGTCAAGGTTGTTTTGCCATACACAAATAGACAAGTGTTTCCACAAAGTGTGTCCCTCATGGAACTAAAGTAGGGAAAACAGCCACAGACCATTTTTCTTCCTTGACTAACTTGTTATATAAATTTGGTCAAGTAGCTTTATACTGCCATTCCCCCAAACTCATCCATGTGAGAGTATGATGGTAAACCATGATTCATCATTCCAGAGTTCAGTGGCAGTGAGCTTTACACCAACCAGCACATACTTGGCATTGCTGTGGCTGCAGCACACAGTCACACACCCATGGAAACCCATTTTTACAAAGCTCCCAATGAATACTTCTGGTTCTGATTTGCATTTACAGGGGCCGTTTGGAACTTCAGTGTTAAAATCAGGGTCTCTGGTAATGCATCAGGGGCTACATGCGTCATTCAACGCTCTGTAATCCTTTTCTTTGGGCTTATGTGTGGCCCAGCACTTTCTGACTCAGCTGTGCTTAGCTTAGAAGGATATATTAAAATGTGTGACTGATACTAGAGAAAAATGACACATAAGTCACA